CTTATGTACCAAATAAATTTAGATTATTTTATTAAAATCCAAAAATTTAGTTGCTTACAAATTTCGAGTCACACTGTAACATTTCTATCTTTAACTAGGCTACAGGGCACTCTCATTTAATTTGGCTGGAAGGTAACATGATAATTTAATACTTATAAATACTACCATTTCCAGTCCTTATATGCAGGCAACCCACAGTACTGCAAAGTATTTTGATCGTCAGCCAACAAAAGCAATTATAATTTATTTATTAAACTTAAACACTCCGTTTTCAAAGAGGGTTTAAAATATTCACTAGTACGTTTTAGACACATAGAGGTGGGAAATTATTTTAGTTTGTGTTCACCTCCGACGATTTTATTACATTTTGATACTTTCAGTTCGCTTCATAAGAGAGAAATTAATTTATCAAGAAATAAAAACGATTTCTTTAAATTGGGGCTTAAAAATGCACCCTGATAATTTTCAACCATAAAATTCGTTTAACTGATGCTCTACAACGACAATAATACATTTTGGTAATTTCAGCTCGTGCAATACGAGAGAAATTAATTTATCAATAAAAAAAACAATGTTCATAGGTTTAGGGTTAATTTTCACCTATAAAATTCTTTAAATTCAACTTTAATACATTCTGATACTTTCAACAGGATTAACTGATTTAGCAAAAACTAAAACAACGCTTTTAAATTGAAGGTTGTAAGCGCACTCCAATAATTTTCACCTAAAAACTTCTTTTTAGTGATGATTCGTAACTTTAATACGTTTTGGTACTTTCAGCTGGTTTAATAAGAGAGAAATTAATTTATCAAGAAATAAAAACACCGTATTTAAAATTGGGGGTTGAAGGGACATTCCAAATCTAAAGTTCTTTTCGCTCAATTAGCTCACTTAGTAAGGATGAAATTAATTTAACAATAAATTAAATCAACATATTTAAGTTGGGGAATTGAAAGTGCCTCACAACAAATGCCATACCTTTTGATACTTTCAGCTTGTTTAATATAGGATAAATTAATTTCAAATTAAACAAAACTGGTAAACATTAATCCTACCTGTCCAATGTAGTTGATGAATTGGAAAGAATAATTCTGGAACAACAACACTGTAGAGTCCACATTCACAACAAATAAACCAATACACAACGAAAACTGCATAGAGGAATAGTTTGAAAAACTGAAACAATTACGATTTTATTTTATTGGTTAAGAAAGAATGTTAAATAAAAACCCACCTTTCTTTATAAGACTAAAGTGCTGTTCAAGTTTTCTTATGACCCATAGCTTGTAAGGAATTTCCCTCTAACAGGCATACTGTACAGAAGGCTGAAACAGAAAGAATTTTTTTTATAGTTTACAAAGAAAAAAATATAATTCACGACCATATAAATATACACCATACTTGAGAAATGCTTCTCTCATTGAACTTGAAACTTATTCGAGCAAAAATTTCACGAAAGTCCATGTATTCTAACTGTACAAGTACCTTCCTTCCTTTTTTCATAATTTGAATTTAAAATGCATAGTTGTAAATACTAATCGTGATTGCCTGTTTTTCAAATAAGCAATGTTTCCATTGGAAAAAAGGCTCTATGAATATTGATTAAAAATACAAGAAAAATAATTACAAAAGATATTAAATTTGAATAATTGATTAAACTGTTTGTTTTAGTTTAGATGTGAATAACACCTACACATTACTTTTATTTGTTACGTATTACTAGTTCTTCCTCCCCATCAGTCACTGTGAGTTCGAAACTGTTAGCACCATTGCTTCGAGTGATCGAAATTCACTTTTGTGAACAATTTGTTTAATCACTTTCTGTATGTTAAAAATTGAAGAATTAAATTTAAAGGAATTGTTTATAAATATGTATGCAACACATCGCACACTTCAGCAAATCATTTTTAGCAAAATAGTATGTTTTATTTCTGTGGTTTAATTTATACATAATCAAATCAGAAAATTTCTTAGTTAAATAAACTCTACCTATTAACGCCAATTTATGTGATTTAGGGATATTAAACTGCACATAAAGACAAAAATATTAAATCTTTTGTATTTATAGATGCGCACTATCATGTCATTTTTGGTTTTTCAAAAACCTAAACAAAATTAATTGACACTGCATGTTGTATACATATGTATATAGCTCGATTACTTTTCTTCGCCATGTCTATCGACTTAACAGAATTTACAAAAACCTGGGAAGACGAAAAGCCAAAAAACGTGTTTCGAGGAATTTTACAAGTATAAAAGGAATTCAATATACCTACTATTTTTTAGAATTGATCTTAAAAAGGAACGTGTAGGGAAGTTTTAGATACAAAACCGTTGTGAAAAAATTGATAAGCTCCTTTCGTTGCTATATGGATGGGAAATTTTCATTTTTTATTTAAAATAATTCAAAATCACGGATAGTTTTTCCATTCTTGTGGCAACGAAAGGTGCACGCCTTTTTTTAAAAGCGTTTTATAACTAAAAATTCATTTCTTTTCATTGTTTCATTAGAATGCAATTTGAAAACAAGGATTTTTTAAAAAATACAATCGTTTTTAAAAATACTGAAATAAATTGTAGACTTCAGATGCTTAAGAAAGAAATAACTGTTACAAATTTCTCAATCTTTGGACAGAAGATTAAAAATTTATTGCTTTGTCCCTATCGTTGTTACTATAAGCTAACTAAAAGAAGGGATACATTACTTTTCTCCATAATCAATCTCTATTTTTGATTAAGAAGCATCTATCTCCTTGACTATTATTACTTTATTATAGTTTTATAATCTCATCATAATTTTCACAAATAAAGCTAACGTTTTTTTTCCTTTTTTTTAACTACAGGCAACATTTTTCATTAGAAATCATAAAAAAACTGTAATGTACAGGACACAAGGTACAAATACCCACATTAGATGCAAAAATTTGATTCATATTAATTAACAGTGTTAAGTGGCGCAAAATCATAATTAATTTAACTTTAAATTTAATTGCTTAAATATAAGTTTCGATTCGCATTGCAGCATTGGTATCATGATAATTTAAATTTAAAATACCTATCTAGCAAATAAATAGTGAAACGAGTCATCAGCAGAATTGAAATAGCAAACCTGTAGAGATGTGCATGCAAATGAATCTACTAATAGTGTTACTAAGATCGTTAGTAAGGGTGGCGCACATCTCTGCAGTATTGGAGCAAGAAGTGTTGTTATCTTACAGTGGAACGTTCGTAGTCGTGATAGGTCAAATGCATTATCTATTATGTTGCTTACTTGTTCCACTATCATACGAACGGACACGCAAAACAAACAAGATTTCAGTGGCGTTACTGATTGTGAATTAATAAAGATGTACGAGTGCGTTTATTGGTATTTATTTTTGTGAACTTTTGTTTAATTTATTTTTCGAAATTTTAAAAAATTGATTAGGTAAATTGACAAAAAAACGGCAAATATTAGTATCATTTGGTAACAACAACATATGTTTATCAATAAGGAACCTCAGTGCAGTACAAGGGGCCTAAGAAGTACTGTCTCAAAAAGGTCTTATAAAGTTTTAAACTAGCAGAATTACTGTTCTCAGATTATCTCCGTGCCACTGCAACTTCAATCCCATGGGCACAGGTAAAAGGATATGTGGCACGACATAATACCACATTTAAAATAATATATACAGACGCATAAATGTACATTTTGGTACGCTACACCACTGGAATATTTGATTTCTCGATCGTTTCTACTGTTCACCATAATGAGTTATTTCTCTATTTATTTGCCAGACCTTTTTTTTAAATACCATTAACGATTTCTCGTCCCGCATATAGGCAACCCACTTCACTGCAAAGTATCTGAGCTTAAGGCTGCAGTAGCAGTTCTGAATTCTTTTACTTATTAAAGACTTGGTTTTCAAAATCAGAGTTTAAATATTAATAATCAATAAATAAAAACGTTTTTAAATTGGGGGTTGGAAGCGCAAATCGATGTTCTCTATGAATTTTTATGGCAAAATCAACAAAACGTAGCGGAGCTATAAACGCCACCCAGCCCTTTTCAAAAAATTTGANATGTTCTCTATGAATTTTTATGGCAAAATGTAGTGGAGCTATAAACGCCAACCAAGCCTTTTTAGAAAAAATTTGATAGACTAATGTTCACAATTATTTTACTTATTAATGATTCAGCTTTCAAAATCAGGATTTAAAATATTAATAATCAAGAAATAAAAACGTTTTTAAATTGGGGGTTGGAAGTGCAAATCGATGTTCTCTATGAATTTTTATGGCAAAATCAACAAAACGTGGCGGAGCTATAAACGCCACCCAGCCCTTATCAAAAAATTTGATGGATGCTCCATGGGATCTTTTGTTAACTAAATTGACACCACATTAATAACGTGTGACTAATTAATATTAACTTAACTATGTAATATTACCTTAATTATCTGTAGAAAGCAAACCAAATTGAGAAAGGATACCAGGTCAGACATCCCATCTTGTCATTGCTAGGGTCAAAATTAACTTCCCAATCTTTCTCGGGTTAGCCAATCTATAGAAACGAACAGGAAAATCATTAAATACTTTTAATTAATAATATTTTAAAAGTGACTGCAAAAATAATAAACACACAACTGTTACGATATTCAATTATCACATTTCTTCTGACTCTCAAATTAAAGTCAAAATAAAAGTATAGATAGTGATTACATTGTCGTTAAAAAAAAAAATAAAGGGTCTATCCCTTGTATTAAGCTAACATTCACACATTCTGCATCTGACATTTCTGGAACGATCTTCAAAATCTGTCTATTGGGAGTAAGTTACAAATGTTTAAGAAACTGAGTTTTCTAGTATTTCTACTACTTTCTACTACTTTTAATTGATACTGTTACTTACCAATTCATTTCATAATTTCGTAAATCCTTTCTTTAGCAATAAAACACTGCATCCGTTACCAATGCAAAAAAGGCACCTTCACGCTTTCCTTAGGACTTCAGTGGGGTGAAAGAGGACTCACACACCCAATGTTTCATAATACAAGGCATCTAAAGTTTTTACTCTTTGAACTCTGGAACTCTGTTAACTTCTAGGTACTGTACCATTGATGTTGACAATTCATTTCCACAAATGAACAAGTAATGCCTTTGTAGTGGAAAAAAGGCACTTTTAGAATCGCAGTGTATGCCACCTGGAGTTTATGTAAAATCCTGTGGAATAATTTGTTACATTAAAGACTACAATTTTAAGCCATATTTTGAAATAATCATACAATGAACTATTGATATTAATTTTAGGTCTTTACTATTAAGTTACATTTACTATAAATATAATAAATAATATTGCAGAATTTTCCATGCTTTATCTAA